AAGAAAATATAGGCTACTCTTTTGCCATGTGGAATTGAAGGATCTTGTTGATTGGATGCTTCTGAGAGTAAAATACAAGCCACATGTCTAGTCTATATATATATATATATATATTTGGGCGGCTAATGCTCTTCCATCAATGGAAAATCTTCGAAGGCAAAAGACTGTCCAATTTAACAAGAGAAAAAAAAATCTACGTGAAATGGGTGATAAAGATCTCAAAGCAACCAACTCATTCTATCTACCTTGGTGTAAGGTTCATAGGCAAATGAAACGGGGATGGATGAATTGGATTGTGACATTTTCCAGTTTTTACATACCACTGAGTTCTTTGGCCACGTCTGCAACCCTTTTTTGTCAGCTTTATGATCTAGTGATGCTGCTCAAAGCACTAAGTCCTAGGGTTAAATATCAAAGATGACGAAGTCAAGACAGTAATGGTTTTCAAGAGGCTTATCAGGTAGGGGAAATGTGCAGCTGAATTGGATTGAACAAAGCAACGCCCACAGACTACAGACATAGATATTACTAATGTTTTACAAGATTCTATAATCATTCTACAAGAATTCTTCAGCATGAACTGCAATTATGGCAGTTACTCCATTGAAGAAGGATCTTCTTCTCCTTGTGTACTTTCCTGTACTCTGCCTAACATGATTACACATCAAAGGCCCGCAATGCAAGCTCTGGGTTTTGGACTTTTAAGGCATAGCTCTGAGTTCTTCAGAGCAGAAGTACTTTGAGAATTTCTTCCTGCATCAACGAAGGGTCAGACCGCTGGAGCTTATACAAGAATTAAATGCATAAACAAATACTTCGAGAATTTCTTCCTGCATCAACAAAGGGTCAGTCTGCTGGAGCTCATACAAGAATCAAATGCATAAACAAACACATGCTAGTTCATAATAGTGTAATTTGACAAGCCCAAGAGTTTACTTCATAATTAATGAGTTTTGTCTAAGATATAACAGAATAAAAAGTTTCTGATGACAGTGCTACATTTAGTGGCTTCTATCTGCTCAAGCTGCAACTTCACGGAAGCTTCTTTCATAATAGAAGCATCCCTTGTATTTTCAATAAAATCTATAATATAAACTATAGCATTAGTGTAGGATCAAAATTATTTTAGACTGGATTAACTCAAAGTGACCTAGCTATTTTGGTAGATTTAAATTCAACTTAGATGATCGGTAAAAAATCATAATTTTATTTAAAATAAATATTTAAAATAAGATTTTTTTATATAAAAATATTGAGACAGTAACATATTAGATTGATTCGGGTCAAATTGGTTTAACCTGTTAATCTATATGTTGGGTTATAAGATCATAATACCTCATAAAAAAACAAATTATACAATTTAATTTTTAATAAATCTAATATTAAAAGATAAAATTTAAAAAAATATATATAATAACCCCACGACATAAACAAACATCACACATGTATATAGTTGCATATGCCATCCATATATTCAAATTCCATGACTAGATTGGAGTAATGATGGAACTTTAAAAGAGATTTTGATGTATACTAATTGAGTAAAACACTGAACATTCAACATATTTGAAAGAAATAACAGATACTTTTAAAATATATATATATCATCAATAAAGCTTTTGTCACACTTAAATTACAAATAATATGTTCCTTAGTTTTGATATTTTCAATTTTATGGCATTGATTATAAAGAATCTTTCATGAATGTGCTTCTAACAAGTTTTGGTAAGATAGAATTACAAATTTAACTTGTTAAGATACTGATAATTACGTGTCTTTTCAAAATTAAAACAGCAATGCTATTGACGCTAGTGCTTTATATGTTGGAAGAAAATTAATTTGGTAGGAATTTATGGACAATAATATAGCAAGTAAAACTAAAGAAAAAGAAGAAAATTTAAGAATAAGGAATGTTTTATTAAGTGTTTACTCTTCGATGCATCTTCTTCTTTTTTTATTATTATACTTATGCTTTATGATTCTAATTACAAGCCTATTTACAAGTCTAAATTCCTAAACAATCAAGTAATTAAACTAAAATAAAACATATTCTGAACAGGAAAAGTAATTTATTGACTTAATTGATCAACTAATTCTCAACCAGCAGACTGGTTCATTTACTTCAACTGGTCGACCAATTCCCAATCAGTAAACCATTTTCTCTGTTTTTCAGAATAACCAGAAATCATGTTTATTTTTCAACACCTTATATGTAGTAGTTACCACATTTAAATGATCATAAAGCATCTTTCAAAAAAAATAACAAGGAGTGAAATATAAAGCATGTGAATATAAATAATCTCTAAACCATAAGATTTCTAATGTAGCCAGTGATTTCAGAGTTGTTAATTTTGTTCTATTTCGGCCGGGATTCCCTGAATGTCTCATACCAGTTAAAAAAAAAAAAAAAACAGGACAAGTTTCACCTCGCTTAAAATCTTGGTTTGATCCAGAATTTTCGGTCAAATTTCAGCTGGAACGTTTCTACCGAATTCCATGTGTTCTGTTTCAGGTCAAAGCCACCGAGTCAAAGTCAATGACTCAAAATTAAACCCTATTCTTTTTCATTAACTGCACAGTACACCCACGCTTTTTTTTCTCTAAAGTCTAAAGTAAACTAAACCAAATCCCTAATTTCTCTTCCTCCTCGCAGACTCAAGTTCCCAACCAAAACAATTACAATTGGCATCTTGTCTTTCAGTTTCACGAACTCCCTCTCCAATCTTTCCCCTTCTTTGTTGCTGTCTTACTCTTACATACTACAGTAACTGCATTGGTGCTCCTACAAGGCTGCAACCTCACTTCCCGACCAAAACGGCTCAATCAACAAAAAAGAGAAGGAGCCCCCCTGCAACTTGGCAAAGAACCAGAAGACTCATCAAACCTCACTTTGTGGCCATTCGTTCCCTTCTCAAAAATTGTTTCTGCAGAGCTAAAGTGCAATCTTTTTTCTCTCTTCAAGTTTAAATTGGAAATGAAAAATGCATGAACTTAGTTCTGTTAAATTACATTACTAGAAGCGTGGAACATTAATAGTCTCAGGCTTGCTATAAATTCAAAGGACAAAACACTTTAGAAAGTTGACTTTTATGATAAATGGCTTTGATTTCTACGTTAATGTTTTTTAATAAATCAAATTAAGAGATGGCTTACTACAATGAACCCATTGTTTAGGACTTAGGTGGTGTAAAATATGATGTTAGATAAAAAAGAAGGATATGCCATCTGAAAAATATTTTAGCATATAAAACCAACTTCTTTGAATGAATTGTTCAACGAATCTATACAATAAGATTATAGAATAAGGTCAAGAATAACTTTGATGGTGGATTCTAAATAATTTAATAATCTCTGTTAATTAGGTCTATAGTAAGACTATAATTTACAAACCATTCTATTTCTACGTTAAACTCCTAAAAACATGTTATATTCGGATTTTCAAGTCTTTGGCTATAAGCTTCTGTGTTTTTATAACTAGGGTATAATTTGCATCAATTTTAATGGTCGCCTTGAATACAAGTTGAACCATCAATAAACACTGTTCATTTTGGAATCAGACTATACATTATTTATGCAGAGTCAATGATATTTCACCAGAGTCAAAACAAAACAGTATGAGATATTATTATGACTATCCTAAGTTTACACAATAAATGCAGGCAAAGTAGCAATATCCCATTAGATACCCCTCCTAACTTAATACCAAATTTTGTATTTAATTTGTTCTTTCTTTGTATCAAATTTAATTCTAAAATGGAAAACGCATGTAATCTTTTTCTTTGTATATAATCTTATTGTTGTGTTTGTAAGTTGTAACTTTGTATTGTATTTATCATTTTATTACTTCACCGGGCTTGGCTAGCTAGTTTGAACTTTGAAGTTTTATCTAAAATTAAATCCTACTTTGATGTTTGATCTGTATTATGTGCACAAGCCTATACAAACAAAATAATCGGATTAATTGTTAGGTTGCTAGGTGTAGTTAATAATATAAGTAACTTGACCATGGCTGGATTAATTATAAGGAAGGATACACAATTATTATATGAAACTAAATGTATCAAATAATAAATTTAAAGTGACCATGGCCAGATTAATTATAAGGAAGGATATATAATTATTATATGAAACCAAATGTATCAAATAATAAATTTAAAGTGTGAAGCCAACAAATAATATTTGTAAATCAACATGGATCTTGAGAAATGTTATTTTTTTTCATTTTAAGTTATTGGTATTATTACCATCCATTTTACTTTAAAAATCACGTTGATGTAAATTGTAATAACTGAAATTAATTGTGTTTTATTTTTTTCAGATCAAATTACATGGCTGAAAACTCATCAAGTGGTGGTTCGTCTATGGCTTCAGCTCCAGCAAGATCAGATGATCTAGCATGGGCTCATAGGCAAGTGGTTATTGGTGCAAAGAACTCAAGTATATGTGTTCATTATAGCAAAAGGATCAATAGTGGTGGTATTACTCGTCTGAAGTATCATCTTGCTGGTATTAAGGGCCAAGTTGAAGCTTGTAAAAAGGTCCCTCCAAATGTGAAATGGCAAATGAAGTAATTAATAGAGGACTTGACAATGGAGAAAGAGAAAAGAAAGAGATTTAGAATTGATATTGAAAATTCTCAATCACTTTCCAATGATGAAGTCGAAGAGGGTGATAGTGCAAATCCTACTCTAAGTGATATTAGTTCACAAGCAAATAAGAGATTGACAATGCAAGGCACAAATGCAAATAGAAAAAAGACGACTTTTTTCGTTCCATGAAATAACCCAAATTCACAACCTAGCATTAAAAGTGCAATGGCTTTTAAAGAGAAGGAACATAATGCAAGGAAGGTCATAGCAAGATAGTGATATGATGTTAATGTACCATTTAATGGTGATAAATCATACTATTATCAACTAATAATAGATGTCATAGCATCAATGGGACCTGGTTTTAAAGGACCATTATATTATGATTTAAGGGGACCACTTTTGAAAGGTATGGTTCATGATGTCCATGAATATCTCTTTGAAATCAAGGCTAATTGGAAACTTTATGGATGCTCCATTATGGCAGATAGGTGGTCAAATAGAAGAAATGTACCAATTATGAATTTTCTTGCGTATTCTCCAATAGATACCATATTCTTGAAGTCAGTTGACACTTCGTGTCTTATTTGTTGCGATGTTGCGGTCGCACAAATTAATTACCTTAGTTTAAAACACACAAGATAGTATAGAGTAAGTAAGGGGTCGATCCCACGAGGAAGATTTTGTTCAGATTTCTTATGCTATACATTATGCAATTTAGGGCGGGTTTGATTTGTGAAGATCTAAAATATAGAAGAAATTAAAATAGCAAACAAAATCAATTAAAATCAAAAATTTTCAAGAAAACAAACCTTAGTCACAAGCACACATCCACCAACAGAAATTAGAATCGATCCTTGAAACAAAACTACAATTTATATTCTGAATTTTTATCTTTTTTAATGTTGGTTAATTTATGGATACGCCGTATAACTAACCCTAACCAACAAACAATCACAATGTTCGCATTAATGATTTAGTTCAATGGCAGCCCTAAGAACTAGATATTTGAGTGTTCTCCCTAAGTTTAATAATGTAGTTCCACCACAATTATCAA